GGTTTTCTGTACTGCTGGGGGTGGACCCTGGGGCTTTGCACATGCTGAGCAGACACAGTACTCCCTGAGCTGTGTCTCCAGTTCTCACTCCTTTTGTTTGCTTGCTTGAATATGAGGTTCCTAGCTTATCTACTGGCTGACTATGAATTCAGAGCAATCTTCCTGCTTCAGCCTTCTGACTTCTGGGATCCTAGGCCTGTGGCACCCAGTTCTCAAGGTGCAACGTACCTCAGCATCTGGGAATCTGCTGTCAGAGATCTAAAGAGATCGAGTGAGGAGTCTCTGTGGCAGCTCAACTGTGAGGCACAAGCCAATAAACTGGCACTAATTAAGAGCTAATGGCTTTACAGTAGACCATAGCCAAAGGATAAGGACCCTGGGCTACAGAGTAAACACAGACACTTGGGGCAGAGCCAAGACATATTTTTAGAGGGCACTAGAGCCCACTCCAGCCTTCTCCACCTTCTCTACCTGGAGAAAATGAGAGGATGCCACCAAAAGGAAATCAGGTCTTGCTGAGCTGGCTTCTGGGCAGGTTATCAGGGAGCCACGGGGTAACTTTAGGGGTAAGTTTGCTTTTCAGAGCTAAAACTTCTGTGCAGGGGCTGCAGATGTGAGTCAGCCAACAGAGTGCTTGACTGGCAGCTTGAAGTCCTGAGTTTGATTCCCAGCGTGACATAAACCAGGCACGGTACATAGTATGCCTCTAATCTCACAGCATGAGAAGTAGAGGCATGAGGATCAGAAGTTCTGGATCATCCTCAGTGACATGGCAAGTTTGAGGCTAGCCTGGGCTATATGAGATCCAGTATCAACAAAACAATAACAACAAAAAGAGGAAAATGTCTCAATATACAAGAGCCACAAGGGGAGCTAGGAATACAGCTTTAGTAGTAGAGGGTTTACCAAGCACCGATAAGGCTCTATGAGCAATCTCTAGTGTCACTCAGGGAAGTAGGACATGGTCATGTAGCTCAATGGTAGACACTTGCCTAACAATGCTGACGGCCCTAGTGCTGGAGGAAAAATAGATCATTAAAAGGTAGGTTGTTTTACGTTGGAGCCCCTATCTTTAATCAAGTGGAGCTGGAAAGCTCTGGGGAAAGGCTCAAGAGGCTACATTTTTAACCCACTCCCCCAAGTGATTTTGGTGCCGGTGGTCCTCAGACCACACTGAAAAAAAGTCTTCTTTAGAAGCATCTGATGTTTATCCACCGGACACCAAGGACAGGATGAAAAGTGAGGTCAAAATTCCTGTGAAAACAGCAGTTCACAGCTGAGGTTTGTTTCAGAAAAGAGGCATTTCTAGCTGGTCTCTGAGGGACTCTCCCCATCCATTTCAGACCTGTGGCTATAAGCGAGAGGATTGCAGAGGATGAGGTGCTAATCTGGGTCTGGAGAAAGAGAGCGAGCATTGCTCCTCCTTGGTATCGGACTGAGTCTGCAATGTGTTCGTGTACCATAAACTCGTGGAATCACCTGGCAAGCTTTCAGGTCGTTAAATAATCACTCTCTGTTGTATGGTCTATGAGTATGGCAGACTGTATGAAGAACTGTGCTCCTGGGGGTGTCTTGCCTCCTCTAGCTGCCTGACATCAAGGGAGAAAAATGAGTGAAATACAGTCACTGCAGTATAACCATGGGCTAGACAAAATGCACGGGGAACGTGAGCGTAACTTGCCTCTGTCAGGCGCCTCACCTGCTGTCAGGCTGTCAGGCTCAGCAAATGCTGTTTGAAGGGTTGCTAGGTCAGACTGTAAAAGTAGATGGGAAATTTGTGCAGTGAACATAAGCAGGGTAGGAGCGTAGGAGAGAAACAACCCACCATATCATCTGGGAAAATAAAACTCTTTGGCAAGACTTCATAACAGCCTGATTCAAAAGTTCATAATGAAATTATGTCTCTGATCAAAGCCTGCATGAGCTCATGAGCTGATTTTTGCCATTCGTGTTTATTCTGGTTTGCACCAAGTTGAGGCATCAGAAACACATTAATCTAATCTTCTTTCTGGGAGGAGGCTCTTGTACCCTCATTTGGGGATCAAAGGGACGAAGTATGGCAAGGAGGGACCATCTTTTGCCCCTCTCTGAATATGCACTTTTGATTGGTTCTTAGAATCCCCGTAGGCACATATCAGGGGTAGGGCCTTCCTAGTAGAGTTGAGTCTCCTGACATTTGCCCTTGAGGCAAGAAAAGCAAAACTGAAGAAGGAAAAGACTCCCATCTCTCCTCTGGGACACAGCCTGCTTTTGCTCTAGAAAGAATATTTCGGGGGTTTGTTTGTTTTAGACTCAGAGAAATGCTCAACTGTGTCTCTTTCAACTGGAGTGCTTTGCAACAGGTTTTCTTTTTACAAAATGAACTCAAGCCCAGTGTCTCCACACTTCTCACGGACCTTACTCAGCCAGCACTTTTCTGATCCTTCTCAGAGGCACACAGATAGGCACTCCCAGCAACTCAAGTCCCAACAAAGAAGGCTCTTGGTTGAAACCTCAGAAACACAATTTTCTGGATCCCACAGTGCTCTTTAGACAAGAGCCATTCCCCCAACCACCCTCTGTCCTTCCTTATTCATCCAAGAAAGATTTAGTAAGGCCTCATTTTATGTCAGGTGCTTGTTCGAAGTGTTTTTAATTTTTAAGCCCAGGGAACTACACATTCTTAACTGCACCTTTGTGATGCTTCTGCTTCATTCTCTCTCTCTCTCTCTCTCTCTCTCTCTCTCTCTCTCTCTCTCTCTCAGATAATGTCTTGGAGGGCTGTGGTGGCACAGGCTGGAGGTGGCACCCACCTTAATCCCAGCACTCTGGAGGCCAGCATGGACTACAGAGTACGTTCCAGGACAGCTAGGGCTACACAGAGAAACCCTGTCTCAAAAGACAAGCAAACAAACAGATAATGTCTTGTTCTACAGTTTGGCTTGTACCTCCCTATATAATAGCCCAGGCTAGGCTAGCCTTGAACTCATGGCAAGGATAGTCTAACCTCAAACGCTGAGGTTAGAGGCCCGTGTCAACACACATAGCTTTGTTAAGTTCTGAGGACACAGGGGTGAATAACATACCTGGTTTCCACTTTCCTGAAGCTTATGGCCTAGATTTGGGAAAGCAGCCAATGCTCTTGTGAATAGGACCATTTCAACTAGTCGCGTGTGCTGTGCAGTGAGGTGGAATGGAATAACAGGAAGAAAGTGGCTGACTTAAATCAATAGCTCAGCAAATACTTCTGCCAAAAGGATCAGCTGCCAGATAAATCAAGAGCATGTTGTTCAATTTGAATTCAAGTGGACAGTGAAAAAACTTCTTTGGTGTAGAGTCTCTCTATGTAGTTCAAGATGGATTTGAACTTGTGGCAATCCTTAGCATCTCAAGTATATCATGTTTCGTTAGATTCTTTAAGTTATCCTAAACCAAGATTTGGAATATGAGCTAGAACGTGTGTTTATTTCAATCTGAAATTCAAATTTCACTCTGTCCTGTATTTTTTCTTGATTTTCTCCTCCTTCCTTTCTTCCTCCCTCTCCCCTTCTCACTCCTCCTCTTCCTCCTTCTTTTGAGACTAAGTCTTGCTATATAATGTGAAGAAGCTTGGAACTCATGGCAATCTCTCTCTTCCTCTGTCTTTGAGAATTGGTATTATAGGTGTGTGCCACCATGATGATGTATTTGCTAGTCTTTGCAGTCCTATAGATAGATGATATCTGAGCAGGAACTGACCAGAAGGAACCAGCTATTCCGATTCAGGGAAAGTGTGATTCAGACAGAACAACATTCAGTATAAATGTCAGAAGGAGGCAGAAATGAGGTCAGAGGAAATGGAGCCAGATCACAAGTTTTGTAGGGATGGAAAGAAGTTTGAATCTGTCTCTTGTTGTGATAAGCCATTAGAGAATTAGAAATCTCCTCTTCTCCTCTCTCTCTCTCTCTCTCTCTCTCTCTCTCTCTCTCTCTCTCTCTCTCTCCCCTCTCCTCCCCTCTCCCCTCTCCTCCCCTCTCCCCTCTCCTCTCCTCCCCTCTCCCCTCTCCTCCCCTCTCCCCTCTCCTCCCCTCTCCCCTCTCCTCCCCTCTCCCCTCTCCTCCCCTCTCCCCTCTCCTCCCCTCTCCCCTCTCCTCCCC